CACTGACGTCAGTGTCGCCCGGAAGTGTTGTGGGAACGTTGGCAGAACTGGAGGCTGTAAAAGTCATTATCAGACAGTCTTGATATATTTTTGGAATTTATATATTTAAAACATAAGCCAAATAAACACACGATTAAAAATGTTTAAAAGCAGAATTTTTCTGTTGTTTTTTGCGGCTTTTTTTTTTTCTTTGAAATTCAGTGATGATACTGAAAACATGTATTTCATACTATGGAGAATTCTTGTGTTTCAGAATCTATTATCTCACCATTACTTACTGTATTTTATTAGTTGTTAGTGTTGTATCTGTGTGCAAATCGGCATAAAATTGCTGTAAAACTAGGCAAACTGACTAGCAACCAGGTTCGTTTGCGTTATTTAGTTGATATGTAAAAGTTGACCCACAGCCAATTAAAAAGGAAAACTATGTGGTTATTTATTGATGCATTTTCAGGTAGTACACATAGTATTCTTTTTAGCTGGTTATGCAACCTCGTCATTAATGAACAACCTTTGTGCAGGATCTTTGTACCAATCTTTGCTTGGTCACCTGTACTCTGTCTTCATAGATCCGAGCGTATAACCTCCACATAGGTCTTAAAGTAATAAAATACATAATTTCAGGCAATTGACACCACAAAACTTGCATTATGCATATTGGAAACAAAGACTACACTTTCAGACACAGATTGATTGCATTTTTGGTAACATTATTTGTTACATCTAGTGAAACACTTTTTACATACGTAATCCACTCTTCCAACCAATCTCGAAGGCCTGTTTGGTGCCAGGCACCACCTGGTGGCCCTTGTCACATACCGTGCGGGAGAGTCTGTGTCCCGTCTTTTCCTGGGACCTACAGGAGCCACACTGACATCAGGAATCCCNCACCAAGGTCACATACCGTGCGGGAGAGTCTGTGTCCCGTCTTTTCCTGGGACCTACAGGAGCCACACTGACATCAGGAATCCCCTGGGATGGGGCTTTTTCATCCCCCTGTCCAGAGAGACTGGGCTGGAAGGACCCTGGGAAGGCAGAGGCACCCTCACCTGCCATCCTGTCGGAGAGGGTGGCCTGCGCTCGGCCTCGCCCTCTCTGGACTCGTGCTTCCTTCCTCCCGCCAGTTTTCGCTTGCCCCCTACAAGAACAAGACAGTTTTATTCACTCTGAAAGCACATCGGCGTGGGGGTACAGGTCCACTGTCGGTACTCCTAGGATTGTGGACCCCTGTTGTTAATATGTTCATCATGTATGATTTCACTTACAGGTGGGATCTAAAATACGAACAAACGGGCTCATAGATACAGGAAACAAACTGGAGGTTTCCAGAGAGGAGAGAGGTTAGGGGTGGGCGAAATAGGTGAAGGGAGCAAGAGGTGCAGATTTAAGTTATAAAGTAAACGTCACGGGGACGTCCAGTACAGCGTAGGGAAGTCAGTAACGTCGTCACTCCTTTGTGTGGCCACCGACAGGTGGCAGTAGACTTCGGCGGCAACGATTTGTGATGTAGTTAGGTCATCCCCCCAGCAGGGGGCAGTAGAACCTGGGCTAAAGTCAGAGCACCTTGAGTAACTAGATTTTATTTGGTTAAATTTATTTTGCACAGAACCCAAAAGTGCAGTTTGCTTAGTAGCCCTTTTTCAAACAAAGTAAGTGAGGTTGGAGCGGGCCTTCAGTGAAAACCAGTCCCTGATTTTGAGTAAGATGATTTTTAATCTTTACTTGGTACCTGTTTAGAACAGTAAAGGGTTAAGGTAGAACAAGGGAGTTTTAAAAAAATGCTGTTTGTAGTTTTAAGAGGTGATGGGAGTAAGCAAAAGGAATTAATTTTTAAAAAGTGAATAAATTAAACGTATTTTCCAGTTGGGACAGAGTGGCAGCTTGAACGCAGGTCGTCCTCAGCTCTTCTCACCTGCTCCTGACGACTAACAGAAGCGGACGCTCGCTCCCCAGTCGTGTTAACGTGCCCTGCTCGCCACACGCACCTCCTGGGCGGGGGCTGTGCAGTCAGCTGCCCTCCTGACTCGGTTTACCGGAACGGGCTTGGGAAGGCGTGAGCTCGCCTGATACGGAAGGTTTGTGCTTCAGTGTAAACGGCAGTGCCGACCTCCGGCCTGGGCGTGGGTGTGCCGCGTGTACCACGGTGGCCGGTCTGCGAGCCTGAGATGCGTCTTTAAAATGCTTAAAATTAAAAATATAGGGTGTCCCCAAAATGTACACACACACACTTTGAATAATTATAAAGGCAGTGTTTATTAAAATACAGTTTTCAAAATTGAGCTACCAGCCTTTAAAGTGTGCGTACGTTTTTCTGGGATGCCCTGTGTTTAAATCCTGCCTGCTGCCGAAATTAAGACACAACCACGCAGCTGAGCGTTTCTGAAGCTGGCTCTAGGTTATTCCCAGAACACGCTTGGTTTGAAGCGACGAGCTGTGCTTTAGAGCAGTGGGTCTCAAACGTGAATGTGATGCGAGTTATCGGGGGACCTTGTTAAACTGCTGATTGGAATTCAGTGTTTCGGGTGGCACGTGAGATCGGCACTTTGTAGTCCCAAGACCTGGGGACCACAAGGAACAAAGCTTGGCACCTGGACCCTAAGCTGTGGAGGCAGTTTAAGGTGCCTACGAGCATCTGTGCTCACTGCCAGTGACGGGGGAGATGACATCTGTGCTCACTGCCAGTGACGGGGGAGATGACACAGCCTCTCTCCTCCTGAGTCAGGAACGTGTGCGTAAGATACACAAAGTGCGATGCATAGGCCGTAAAATTCAAAATCCCAAGGAAACAGCATTTTCAAGATGATTTTAATGCTATTCATTCAGTAATGCGGCGTGGAAAGAGTGGTTTACAGTTAAATCACACTTTTCTGTCTGATTCTCTTAAGTCGCTAGTGTTGACTCCCCAAGTTTGATTTCTGTTTCTCAGAAGTTGGGTGAATTCTACAACTTTATGTACATACATACATTCATTTCCATATTTTTGGTTGAGAGAAAAGACGAAAACTAGCTAATCAAAAACAATGTACTTATTACATCTTAAAGATTTATACATTATGTACGAAAGGAGAGTATCCGAGACAATTTGTATTTAAAAATATACAATTCTAATATAGTTGTGCAATATATACATTTACATTTTGACTTCACCTGCCAAAATAAATCAGTTACATATGACACCATCTCTTTCTATTTACATAATAGGTACATTTTATTCTCTAAGGTTCAAAGCAGTTTATGGTTTTATTATTTCAAATTTTAGCCCCTTCTTTGCCTTTACCTCTAGCTATTCAGACTTGTAAACTGATGACGGTGTGTTGCTGGACAGGAAGGGCGCAGTCCTGAAACGGTGCGTGTGCAGTTGTTTTCGTGTGCAAGCTGAGAGTGCCTGAGAAATACGCCTCTATTGAGAGACAGCCTCTGCCTCGGGGCGCCGATCGGATAACTCGAGTCGTGGATTCCGACCATGTGTTGTCAGGGCAGCGGATCTCGGTCAGGAGCACCTAGGAGGCCCGGAGACGGTTCCTGATGGCCACCCCCAGGGGAGCGCATGCGCCCGGCGGGGGGACCAGGGGTGCAGCCGAACATCCCACAACGTGCAGGGAGTCCCCGCTGGAAAGACTTGCCGGGCCCCAATGTCAGTAGTGCCAACGTGGGGACGCCCTGTCCGTGTGATAAATGGTGCGGAGACAAGCAGCTGCGTCATTTCGTTTACAGGATCCAACCACTTCGGGGCAGCCCGCCCTGAGGGCAGGTTTCCGAAGTCTCGTCCGAGCCGCGTGTAGTGACCTCAGTTTAGTGCTTGGCGAGGGAGGTGGGGCAGAGTAAAATAATCCTTCACGCAGCACCTCGAAGGACTAGTGGGCGTATATACAGCAGTTACACGCGTGTTAAATATCCTTTATCACCCTATGATCAGTGTCTCCTCGACGCTTTTTTAAAATAATTTTATCGCAGTGAAACAGGTTTAATCCAAATGGCTGCTGTAAGAATTGGGCTCTAGCACGTCTACCTAGAGAATACCGTGGCATTTTGCTATTAACCCCTGACATTTTATGGCTGTTTTAGTTTTCATTTTGTCTGATACAAAATAAATCATCGGCCTGCGTGCCTAGCGCTGGGCCTTTGCAGAGGCCAGGCCAGGGCCCAGGGCCAGCCACACACGGGCAAATAAATACCTGTCACCCCCGACTGCTTCTCAAAGTCAGATTCTTGGAGGATCGTCTGTTTGTGCGATAAGAAGTCCAGACCCTAGACATTTAGATCTAAGAGCTTCACTGCCGAGCTCCAACCCCATCTCCCCATCCTTTTACCACGAGGACACTGGCGTCGATAGCGGCTGAGCGGCTTGTCCACAGCTGCAGGCCTGTGGCTTGACGTGGCACCGTCACTCTGCTGAGCCCACGCCCTCTCCCCCTGCCCCACCCGAGAGACTGTGTGGGCTCAGAGCCAGAAACGTAGGTGCAGGAGAAATGGGGGGAGGCCCGCCAGGGGTCCATTTCCGGCATAGTGACGGGGGCTCGTTAAAATAGGGATCACAGGGCCTCATCCCCATCGGACCAGAGAGGAGTCTAAGGAGCTTGTGGGCGCACCTGCCAAGTGAGCGTCATTCTGGGGATCAGTCCTCCAGGGACACACGAGCGCGGAGGGACGCCTGCTGATTTGGTGACGTCCGGCATCTCCATACCTTCTCGCAAATTCCCGAGACAGAGCTTACTCTGCCTTGTTTACACTGCCTGGAGCTCCAACAATTAGCTCCAACTCGGGCGTGTTGTTCCTACTTGTTTAGTGAGAAATGGAAACAGGTCCCTGAAACTCACGCGTGTGCATTAAACAGACGGCTTCTCCTCTCCCCCGTCGAGGAGCCGCTGCCCTCGCGTCCAAACACGAGGTCAATGCAAGTGGCTGACTGCGGGCACCGGAGGGGAAGCAGGCTTCGGGGGGCCTTCCAGAAGACGGGGCTCCAGGGGGTGGGGCTCATTCAGTGTGGAAGGTGGAGAGATGCCAAAGACATTACTCATCTTCTGAAAAGTCACCAGGCCCCTGCCTGGCAGCCGGGCAGCCAGGGCAGCGGGCCCTGAGCCTAAGGGGAGAGGAGACCTCCCGCTTCCTCCTCCGACACAGGCTGGCCCTCCTGCCGACAGGACTNTAGTCAGGGCAGCGGGCCCTGAGCCCTAAGGGGAGAGGAGACCTCCCGCTTCCTCCTCCGACACAGGCTGGCCCTCCTGCCGACAGGACTGTACCCCGCTGTCCGCGCTCCGGCCTCTGATCTTCCACCTCTTCGATGGAGATTCCCCGGCAGGAGGCGGCTCTGGCTCCTCGCACGTCACAGGGGCATGAGCGAGAGGAGGCAGCCTGGGGGGCAGCTGCTGGCCTCACTCGGTCCGTAAACGCGACCCCCAGAAAGCTCCGTGCCAGCCTCCGAGGAGAGCTGAAGGCCTGGGGTGTTGTGTTTCCCCAGCATCAATATCCAAACTAGTTCTGTATCTACAGCAAACATGCCACTTTGCATTGCTGTTTAAAAACAATCATTTCACACAATTGGGGTTCCCCCCCCAAAAAACATAAGAAAGTTTGCATTTTTCTTTACGACATGTCATGTTCATCACATTTTCCCTTTCTGACACGGTACACGTTGCAATGTAAACTCTGGACCGGCCAGCATAAAGCACTATCCATATAAAATAACTTTTATCCACCCCCACCCCACCCCCAATTTCACTTTTCCAAACTGACCTGCAGTTTTCGTAAAATAAAATATTAAACTAGTTCACCTAGTACATTGCAAAACACTGGGATTTAAGAAAAATCCACGCCGGCAGCGAACGCTGGCTGGGAGGTGGCCTGGCCCTCGGAGGCGGCCGCGGCTCTCAGCTGTTGAGTTCCGTGGTCTCGTCTACCTCCTCCGGGCTTTTGGTCATTTTTTCATATTTTCTCTTGAAGAAGCCGAGCTGTGGGATATGTGAAATGTTACCATCGATGGCCTCACACCCCTTCCTGCCATTTCCCCAAAGCACGTCGGGGCATCCCCGGGGCGCTGCGGAGGCTGGTGCTCCGACTGACAGGCACTGCCCTTCAGGGAGGGACCCCGGGGGGCTGGCCTGGACTGTGCCAAATTCAGTTATCCAGGTTCTATGTATTTGCAGTTGAACAAAGCATGGAGGGGTCTGGATGAAAGGGAGGTGGGGCGGCCAAAGGAGAGGGACAGGGCCAAGGAGAGAAAACCCTCCCGATTACTTTCAAGGACACGAGTGAGACTTGGCGGATGAACTCGCATTGTCTTTCCTCTCGTGAAGCAGCCGGTCCCGTGTGAAGCTTACGGCTGCTGCTTGGTCAGGAGATTCAAGACAGAGGTCCCCCGGAGCCCCGTGTTTTTAGATAAGAAACTTTCCTTACCTTCCATAAAACTGCAACCAGAGCCAATAGCAAAAGGATTCCGGCGACGACACTTCCCACGATGACTCCGGTCGGGACTTCGGCTTTCTCGTGGGGCTTCGTGATCGTGATGGGAATCTGCAAACGGAAACACACGCCGACTGAGTTAACCGATGTCAGCGCTGAAAGAAGATGGTCTAGTCAAATTCTCTAATTTTTTTTTTTCAGAAATGCTGTTTTTATTTTTTTAAGTCCTCTCTGGAGCATATATATATTTTTTTTTAAATAGAGTGGAAGGGAGGGAGAGAGAGAGAAACATCAATGTGAGAGGGACACATCGATTGGTTACCTCCCACCTGCACCCCTCCCAGGGCCAGGGATCAAACCTGCAACCCAGGCACGTGTCCTTGACTAGGAGTCGAACCCATGACCCTTCAGGCTGAGGGCCGATACTCTAACCACTGTGCCACACCAACCAGGACTCAAATTCCCCAAGTTTATGCATGGCGGTCTGGAAAGGCAACGGGCTTGCTCAGGTCCGTGCTGAGCACTGCGCAGTCAATCTCTAGAGAAAATGCTCCCGCCAAGTCCAGCAAGGGACAGTTTTCTAGTTTCCTCCTAATGCATCGGCGTTTAGCGGATACGTCATCTCTGACCATCTCAGATGTGTTATTTATGAAACAGCCGTTTCAGTTTCTTGCTCACAGTTCCACCACCCATTGGAAGCACCTGGCGCCGTCTCAGGGAGGGAGTCAGAGGCCAGGTCAGCCACCCAAATCCCTTGAGACTGAACAACAGAAACAGCAACTCGGAAGTGGGCTCCTCAGATGCTGATTTCACTCAACTCCTGCTCAGGATTATTTGATATTCACTGTTAAAAAGCAGAAAGGGTCTGGCCGGTGTGGCTCAGTGGTTGAGCACCGACCTAAGCACCAAGTGGTCACAGTTCGATTCCCGGTCAGGGCACATGCCCCGGTTGCGAGCTCGATCCCCAGTCGGGGGCGTGCAGGAGGCGGCCGATCAATGACTCTCATCATTGATGTTTCTCTCCCTCTCCTTTCCTGTCTCTAAAAATCAATAAAAAGTATATATTTTAAAAAGTAGAAAGAAAAACAAAAGTAGAAAGATAGATGTCAGGGCTCTGGTGGGCCTTTTCAGAGACAAAATTGTCCTTGAGGGTCTCTGTGATTCTTTTTCCTACTGATTATTTTTTGAGAGAGAGAGAGGAAGGTGGGGAAGGGAGAGAGAGGGAAACATCGATGTGAGGGAAACACCGCCTGGCTGCTTCCGTAGGTGCCCTGATCGGGCATCGAATCTGCAACCTTTGGGCATATGAGACGATGCTCCCACCACCCGCGACGCCTCGCCAGGGCTGCCCGGATTCTTTATGTCTGCGGCCCGGCCATCTTTTTGACTTTGTGATAGAATGACAAGCCTTCGATTTTTATAATAAAGCTGTGGAGTCTTTTTTTTCATTGTAGAAAGAGTCACAACCGTTTCCTCCACAAAACATGTGCTCAGAGCGGAGGGGACAAAGCCTCGTTTATTTCCTCGATTTCCAGTGACTCACAGTGGCAGAGTCCCGCTCTCATCACAGAATCTATGAGTTGGGCTCAACTGGAATCTGGCCTTTCGGTGCCTGTATTTCTTTTCAGTTGTATCTTCAAGAACTAAAATAAGGCTTTGTAAATTTAGGACTACAGGAACTATAAATCCATATAGATGCTTAACGGCAGTCATCTCTCGGCTGGCTCTACTCCAGAACTTTCTAACCCAGGGCCCATGGAGCTATAGGGACCCACGGGTATAAAATTACTGTGTCCGATTATTAAATGAGCCTGGGATTCAAATAAACTTCAGAGTCACTTATGTACCTATAGGGACATGTCAACTTGTTATTTGGATTCAAAGACTATTCTCACAGACATGAGAAAGTAAGCGTCGACCTCTGATATTTATTGGTATTGCTCTGAGAAAACCAGGGAAAGAAAAGTTCCCTAAAGGGTTCACTGAAATTGTTAATTTGAATTTCAATGAATACATTTACTTAACACGGCTTTAAAAAACACACACAAAACCAACACTAATCACACACAAACTTCAGCCAAGGCCCTGGCATTGTTTCTAAAGTGAACTTGAAAAAATACAACCCACCCCCACCTAAGGTCCTAGCCTTGGAAATTGAAGGCCACATTTCCTTCGGTTCTATTTCTGATTTTCCACACCCCAGCCCCCCAGAGAGGGCGTGGCCCTTGGTGGAGAGTCCAGAGACAGAAAAGCATCCTCTGTACTCAGAACCCCTTTCCCTGGGGCGAGATGGGGCAGCTGCCCCGCGAGCTCTCAGAGGGGCCCAGAGTTCACGGCCACTGGTTTTATAGCCAAGTGGTAGGTGTGGCAGTGACCCGAGGCCAAGCTGGCCTTGGGGGAAGAGTCTAGAACCGCCTTCCAATTTCTAACAAAAGCTCTGGGAGGAAATGCTCAGGGCCCCAGCAGGTAGCCACCGGGCATGGGGATCCCGCTGTGTCTGAAAGAGGCGTATTCTACCCAGAGGTCACCGCAAGGGGACCGGGTCCCCTGCCAGCTCTCACAACAGTAAGCCTTTGTCGTCTCTAAAAGGACATTTCTTCACAACCCCCCCCTTTTTTTTTTTTTAATTTTAATCAAGGGAGCATTTATAGCTTTCTAGGCTGGAAGCCCTAACAAATGGACATTTTACTCAGTGTCACTGTCTAGCTATAAGGAATATTACCAAAAAAAAAGGCCCTCTAATAAATGCCTTGCTTATTAAGCAAACTTCAGTGCTCATCTTTAAAAATTACCCTAATAGACGATTCAAATAAGCATGATTGGATTTTATGGGCCGAGGTCTGCACTGTTCTGTGTCAGCACGAGGAGAGGGAGGCCTGGGGGTGCCGGGCGAGGCTCGGAGACAGCAAGAGCCGGAGGGGGCCCCTCATGTCGGGACTCCCGCGGGGTCATCGCTTCAGATCCAGCTTTGCAAACACCCCTCGGAAAGCTCACCGTAATCCATGCCAGATTTCTGGAGTCCCGGGGGGCTACTCTGCACCTATTCTAAGTGGTCAGAATGGAGCGCCGTCCGACTCCGCCGGTGCGGGCCTCTAGCCGGCGGAGGGCCGGCGCACTCACCGTGACTGCGTTCTCCTCGATCACGTAGATCTGCGGGTTGTAGGTGTCGATCTCCGCAGACGCCGTGAGCTGCACCGTCTGGAAGTTCGACTGGAACATAAGAATAAAGAAAATGTTTCATCCCAGCAGAAGTCAACGCATGAAACTTGGCCGGCTGGCTATTTATGAACTTCCATGTGGAAAGGAACAAGAGCAAACGCCCATCTGAAGACTCCAGAAGCTCAGTGTCCGAAACCGGTGACGTGACAGGCCCACACATGGCAAGTGCCCACCCAGGAACTTCCACACGCGGGTGACGGCCCTGCCAGAGCAATTGAGCCCCGATCTCTGGGGGCCAGGTCCAGACATCTCTCCCGGTGATTCTAACTTAAGCAGGATTGCAAAGCAAGGTTTAGATGTGACGTTTGTGACTGGGAAAGACCACAGCACAGATTCTAAAAACAAGTTTGCGGCATGAGGGAAAACTGCAAACTCAGTATTTTTAACAGAAACTGACTCAGACACAGAGAACAGACTGATGGCTGACGGGAGTGGGGCTGGGGGGCTGGGTGAAAAAGGCGAAGGGATTAGTAGGTACAGACTGGCAGCTGCAGAACCGTCACGGGGATGTCAAGCACGCACAGGGAATATTCTCAGTAACACTATGATGACGAGGGGCGGTGCCAGGCGGGTCCTGGGAACATTGGGGGGGACACTTTGTAAAGTAGATGGTGGTCTGACCACTATGCTGCGCACCTGAGACCAATACACAGTGATATTGAGCGTGGGCTGTAATAGAAAAATAAAAAGAGCAAACTCGACTCGATATTTTTATCTGTTTACCTGAGTAAGTGATATGCAGGAATGGAAGAGCAGGTTGGAAAGGGAAGGTGATCTTTCCTTTTGGGTACAAGGGTGAAACATCACTGCTCAAGACCACACTGAGCTCCACCATGCGCGTCCACAGCGGGCGCCCTGAACAGTTGGTCACGCTCTGTCACGTGACTAATCACTGCAGGTTTCCCAATCTAAGCTTTTCTATAAAAAAATACTGGATCTGCCCGGCCGGAATGGCTCAGCGGTTGAGCATCGACCTAGGACCCAGGAGATTGAGGTTTGATTCCCGGTCAGGGCACATGCCCGGGCTGTGGGCTCATCCCCAGCAGGGGACGTGCAGGAGGCAGCTGATCAATGACTCTCATCATTGATGTTTCTCTCTCTCTCTTCCTCTCTCTGAAATCAATAAAAACATATTAAAAAAAATACTGGATCTGGGGCAGGCATATAGAAAGCACATATATTTTATGCCCACATTTCTAGTAAACTGATATGAAACAGCTTTACATGCATTCCTGGACCAGTTGTAAAAATAACTCCATTTTTCAGTGGATACACTATTGACGTGCATACTCTTTCCTCTGTGGGCCTGATGCTTACTTCAAAGTAGAAAGTGCTCACTCTGAGAACGGCCCCCACTTGCCCTGGCTGCCAGGACTTTGTTTTTTGGGTTTCTGGGCCCCAGGGTTCAGTGTACCCCATGAGGCCATTTGCTGAACTATGTCTGGGAGCCAGAGAGAGAGACTGCACTTCCCAAAAGTGAGCAGTGTGCCTCCTCTCCTCGGGCTCAGTCTCCAGCTTCCCTTCTCCGTGTTCTCAACATGGAAGATCGCATCAGAAATTAACTCTGGCCTCTGAAACATATCTAACTGGGGGAACATTAAGAGTATTGATAATGGTTTAAATGTTAAAAAAACAACAACCCTATCTGCCCAGCTGGTGTGGGTCAGTGGTGGAGCATCGACCCAGGAACCAAGAGGTCGCTGGTTCCCGGTCAGGGCCCATGCCCGGGTTGCAGGCTCGATCTCCAGTCGGGGGTGTGCAGGAGGCAGTCGGTGGATGATTTTCTCTCATTGATGTTTCTCTCTCTCTCTCTCTCCCTTCCTCTCTGTCATTAAAAACATACAACGTATTTTCACAGCGTTCCCATCAGTTAAGGGAACGCTGGTTTCACAGTCCCTGTAGAATGTAGACTAAAGATGCAATTATCTCCTAGAGAGTCTGATGATCCGCCCTCCGAGGCAGGCCCCTCGCACAGGGACAGACTTCGCTGCAGGCTAACACGCCGTGGCAGGGAAGTAACTAGCACTCAGCGGATAGCGGCCAACCATGCCGTCAGCTTGGAGGCCAGGCAACCACCTGGTGATGACACTGCTGGTAACGAAGCTGGTTTGCAGGGCATTGGAGAGAGGCGGAGGGCGTGCGTGACCGGATCTGATGCAGGAACCGAGGCCCGAGCTTTAGGCTGGATTTCCTGGCGGGGTCAGAGCACATCCGCTCTGCTGCTGAAATAGGTGGGAGCAGGTGGAGGTGAACCTCCGACCTTCCACGAAGGAGGAAGACCTGAGGACCTGATGAGTGACGACCACCCTCGGGGCTGTTTTCTCAGTGTCACCATCATTGCCACGTTGAGAAAGCCCCGGTCTGACACCTGTCAGAGCTCCGTTCCCAGAAACGAAGCTGTTTTTTCCTGAAACCGTTTGGGCAGGTGCTTTAAAAAGCCTGACATTTAAAATGATGTCGCTTTAACCAAACTCCAGAAAGCCCGATGCCTTTTCCAGGCGGCCCGACTGCCTCGGGTTTGCAGCGGCCGGCTCTCCTTCCCAGCTGGCGGGGCCGTGATGAAAACATTCGTAACTCGAGCCCAGGGGGCCGGGGGCCAGCTGGTGACGCTGCGCACCGGCCGAGCAGCTGGGGCGACGGTGTAACATGGCAAGCGTGGGGTCCACAAGGCTGGGGAGCGGACGCGACTAACGAGAAAGCAAGATGAAGAAAGGGAGCGGGAGGAAGCCGGCTTCTCGCTGACCCCCGGCCCCTCTTCCCCCC